ACTAAAAAAGGCCGGGGGATGTTCCGTTTGTTTCCAGCACGAAGGAGGTTATTGCGGAGTTCGCACTTGCTCTGGCCTAACACGGTGCTTAGATCTGGCAGGAACCCAGGGCCAGTGGACGCTTTCAGCACACACCTGTTCAGCAACAAGCGCCGCTGCCAACCCTTAGGGGATGCCAAGCACAGCTTCAGGAGAGCCTCGGGCTCCCTTACCATGTTGAAGCCAAGAAGCTTTTGCAAGAGTCCATTCCAAAGCTGCAGGTCATAGATTTTGTATTCTAAACAGAGCTCCGCCACCAATCGTACTGCCTGAAGCCAAAAAACAAAGAAAATAAAATCACTGTTTTGCTTCAAGACATCAGTAAATCTAACAAGGTCTGGAAAAGGTAGGGCGGCTTAATACAAAATCTGCACATAACCCGTAAGTACCTAGCACCTCGTTTCAATGAAGGCCCTATCTTTCTAATGAAAGGAAGAGACTTTCCTTTTTTCTCTCCAACGACAGTCTGCCTGTTGTCCCCTTACCGTGCCTAGCCTGGGCTCTGACTGCCTCAGAGGCTAAGTCCCCAAAAGCTGCCAGGCAGAAGAGGAACACCAGCCCTCCCTGCTGGGGGTTGCGGAGGCCCTCAGAGAGAGCTTGAGTGCTCCATCTTGCCGGAAGGGACGATGTTAGCCCATGAGCTTTAAGGAAGAGAGGCCCTATCCATCTCCATGCCAGGAGACCGGAGGATGTCTTAGCGGTGGGCTGCATGGGAGTAAAAGGTCTCCCGGATCCTAAGGGGTCTGCAATGGTTGATACATTGTGTCAACTTGAGAAGTTTAACTCAGCAGGAGTCCTGGGTCCTTTCTTTGTAAATATCCTCATCCTGTTCAAGAGGAGGGCATGGAGATGGTGTGGGTACTACACCCACCCTAGGGCAGGTAGCCTGCTTACAATGTAAGGGAGGAAAAGAGGCTTGCTCTCGCCCTACTTTGCTCTTGTTGCTTTTGCCATCTTCTGCTGCCTTGAAGTGTTGCTCTGTGCCATGCCACTCTGCTTTAGAGCCAGCTGATTATGGACTGAAACCTCCACAAACCGTGAGCTAAATAGTTTTCCTTCTTTAACTGTGGAAGGCAGGTATTTTGTCTCAGCAAAGAAAGAAAAGTAACCAAGACAGGGTGGCAGGAGCCTGAGAGCAAGGACAGGAGCCCCACACCTGGAAGACTCTACCTACCATTGGCTCGTGGCTGTGGTTTTTCCACAGGCCCTTAATCATTCCTTCTTTAGGACTGTGGCAAAATAATTCATAGGTGATGGGGATATTCAATGTCTCGAATGATGCCAGAAAAGTGATACATTTCAAATAAGATCTGAAAAACAGAGGCGTTTACAAGAATCATTCTCTCTTTTGTTTTCTTTTTTGGGTTTTAAGAGGGTCTTGTTATGAGGTTCAGGCTGGCCTTGAACTTGTGGCGATCCTCCTGCCTCAAAGGCTTGTTTCCATCTGGTGTGGTGGCGCATGCCTGTAATCCCTGCACTCGGGAGGCTGAGGCAGGAGGATCGCTGCGAGTTGAAGACCAGCCTGGGCTACAAAGTGAGCTCAAGTCCAGCCTGAACACAGGGAGACGCTGTCTCAAAAAAGACCAAAAAAAAAGGCTTGTTTCCCCTTTGTCAACATGTCAGATAGTCAGGCAACAGAAGTACAGTTATGCCAGGCATGGTGGTGCACACCTGTAATCCCAGCACTCATGAGGCTGAGCAGGAGGATCCTTGCAAATTCGAGACCAGCCTGGGCTACAAAGTGAGCTCAAGGTCAGCCTGAACTGCTTATCGAGACTCTGTCTCAAAAAGACAAAAAGACCAAAAAATAAAAAAGGTACAGTTAACATAACTACTCAAAGGCGGTCTAATGAATTAAAGGCCTAACAAGTTACAGTTCCAAAACAAATGATCTGTTTTCTAATTCTTAATACAATTAATCAAGTTCTACTTACTTTACTTCTCCAATGGGTTTTTTGAAGAGAGATTCTACAGTGTCCTTATCAGCCAGGTAGAGGAGACATTGAAGAGCTCGTGTTTTGTGGGCAAAAGTTAACTGACGCGTGCCCAGGGTCTGCAAAACCAAAACAGGCTGGAGAGCGGCACACCCACATGCTGCAGCTGGCCAATGAGCTTCAGCTGAGCTAACAAAGCAACACCATTTTTTAAAACATGAAAGCCAATTTCTACCCTGAGGAATGCACAGCAAAGAACAGGGGTTCTCAACATGTGGCCCATGGGCCCCTGGGGGAACTCTGCTGAGACTTAGGGGTGGCACAGGGTCAAAACCATCTTGATAATAACGCTGAGGTGCTTTTGCCTTTTACTCTGTGCTGCAGTTGGCACTGAGGTGCAGAAGCAGTGGGGGGTGAAGCTGCTGGCAGAATCAGCCAGGACCCCCGCTGTCCTGGTGTCCTGTGCTCACAGGCCTGTACTCCCCGCCCGGAAAACCAAAGGCGGCTTTCACTCAGAGTGTTCTTAGTGAGGTAGTGAGAACAAATCTCACTCGAGCTCAGCCCTGGATACAGGTCATACTGTGAAGGTCCACATGTGAATGCATGTCGGTATGAGTCGATTTCGACATATGCGTTAGTACTCTGAGGAAACGGGGAGCACACGGAGCAGAAGCTGCAGCGGGAGGGAAACACACACCTGGCTGGGCTGCGAGCTATCTAGCCACTTTCACCAAATGCCATTCACTCAGGGAGGCCGCGCTGCCCTCAAGAAAACAAAAAGCGCACAGCAGCTAGAGGTCAGTGGTTATCAGAGCTGGAAGCAGGTTATGCAGGGGCAGGCTTTCGGTCCCGGCGTTAAGAATGTTGACTGCGCAGTGAGTTACGGGCTGCCCAGGCACTGAGCCTGTGGGAGGTGTCGCCAGGCGGACCATTAGGTTTGCTAAGCAGATGTCACAGAGGCCAGTGGGGGAGGTGACGATCCTTGCTGCCAGACTTTGAATGAGTATGTAAGTGGGCACTATCAGAATCATCTGTTCACAAAGTCAAGCGCGGGAAATATGCAGGGAAAAATGTTCAGCTGAGACGCCTGCACGGGTTCTGAGTGTTTGGAGCTTACACTGGTAGCTGATGTTGCACATACAAACAGCATTCTTGAACTAGAATCAATCGGGCGAGACAGGAGGAGATACACGACTCTGGAAAAAAACAATTTCAATTACATTTGTTTTTGTTTGTGTAGTTTTTGTTTTTTGAGACAGGGTCACATGATGCAGTTCAGGCTGGCCTTGAACTCACTGCGATCCTCCTGGCTCAGCCTCCTGAATAACTGGGATTACAGGTGTGCACCACCACACCCACCTGGTATTTGTTTTGTTTGTTTGTTTTTCATATTGGGAATTGAACTCAGGACCTTGCACTTACCAGGCAGGTGCTTATGCCACTGAGCTATATCCCTGGCCCTGGTTTTCGTTTTTTTTAAGACGGCATCTCATTCACAAATTCAAGCGCAAGCTAGAAAACTTAGTGACTTACAGAGAAACTGTCTCAATATTATAAAAAATGGTTTGGGGCTATAGATCCGTGTGGAGGCCTCCACCCAAATCCCTTGCCATCCTTCTGCCTCAGCTGCCTGACAGCTGGCATTTGGGTGAGTGTCACGGGGCCTGCCCAGGAGCTGTCCCTTGCTTGGACAAAGCTGTACTCGCCCTTAGAAGACTAAGCGAGGAGGAAGCGGGAGTCCAAGGGGAAGGAGGGCTGAGAGTGAGTGGCTGGGCCGGCGGTGCTCCGAACATGAACAAGGACTTTCCTGGGCTTGTCTATGTGAGTCTTTCCTCTCATCAGCTCTCCAGGCCTGAGGGAGGGTGTGGGCCCTCACAGGCAACTTGACCGACTTCTGGTATCAGTCAGGAATGGAGAAAAGCTGGCATGCCTCCTACCACACCCTCCCCCATGCCCATGCCCACGCCCAACAACACTGACTGGTCACTACATTCTTTCTGATTTGGGTTCAAATACAGACTTTTTTTTTTTTTTTTTAACTTTTTTTTTTTTTGGTACCAGGAATCAAACTCAGGGCCTCTCGTTTACCAGGCAAGCGCTATGCCGCTGAGCTACAACCCCAGCTCTCAATACAGCCTTACAAGAGCATTGATGAACACTCAGGGTTAATACATTTGCTTTTAAAAAAGGCACATTACAGCCAGGTGTGGTGGCGCACGCCTGTAATCCCAGCACTCCGGAGGCTGAGGCAGGAAGATCGTTGTAAGTTTGAGGCCTGCCTGGACTACACAGTGAGACCCTGTCTCAAAAACAATGATAACAACAACAAAAACCAAAAAAACTAAACTGTGAGAAAACTCAGCCTCAGAAGTGTATTGATAAGATTTCTTCTACTGAGCACCAAGGTAAAGGCCAGCGTAAGTACAGGAAAAGCATACCTTCGCAGTGTTTCATCTTCTTGAAGCTCAAATAATTCTGATGATTTCTTTGAAAAGAAAGGAAAAAAGTCAAAAAGTGAAGAACACCTGAGTAAACCAAACAAATATTCCTGGTCCTCCCTCTGGCGCTTAAATTTGTTGGATAACTTTTAAAAGGAAAAGGCTCTAGGAAGTTAAGCAACATAGCAACAGTGTCTCAAGAAAATAATTAGCTAAAAATAAAACCCTCATGTCACACGGGTTATGCCATTTGTTTACAAATAGATTGTATATCCGCGTGCGTACCTGCACGTGTGTGTGGGGGGTACTAGGGACTGAACCCAGGGCCTCACACAAGCCAGGTACACGCTCTGCCTCTGACGTATATCCTCAGCACTTCCTACAAGCCCAGGCGTAGTGGTGCAGGCTTGTAATCCCAGTACTCAGAACGCTGGGGTAGGAGGATCGCTGCATGCTTGAGACCAGCCTGGGCTACACAGTGAGTTCAAAGCCAGCCTGAACTACATAGGGAGACCCTGTCTCAAAAAAAAAAAAAAAAAATTTAATTTTTATTTTTTGTGCCAGCGTCTCATTAGGTTGCTAAATTGCCTAGTTGGGCTCTAATTTACGCTCTTACTGCTTCAGCCTCCCTGAGTCCTGGGATTACAGGCATGAGCCACCATGCCTAAAATTCTAATTTGAAACAGTTCTGCTAACTTACCCTAGGCTGATCTCAAACTTGTGATCCTTCTGCCTCAGCCTGCTGAATGGCTGGTATCACAGGCACATTACCTGTACAACTGGCTATGACTAGATCTTTTTTAAGGATATCTTCCCAGGTAGATATAGGAATCATAGAATCTATTCATCAAGTTCTAAATGAAAATTCAGAGGATATCATGGAAACTTTTGGGTGTGGATTCCTGAGTCCTATCATAAGTTTTAGAGGGTTTTTTTTTGTACCAGGAATTGAACTCAGGACCTTGTGCTTGCCAGGCAGACGCTGTCCCACTGAGCTGTATCCCCAGCCCAAATTTTAGATATTAATTGTGTTATTTCTAAAAAATTGACATTATGCATCTACTGGCGTGATCCCCTGAAAAGAACACCTCACCTACAAAGCCTTCTTGTCCAAAATGCATAACCAATCAAGAAACATAAGAAAATCCAAAATGAGACATTTTACAAACCAATTGGCCTGCACCCTTCAAATTCTCAATGTCCCATCAGCAACAGCAGATTCAAGTATAAATTGTCAATAGATGTTAAACCAGTGTGTGTGTGTGTGTGTGTGTGTGTGTGTGTGTACATGCATACATTAAGCAGAGGAGTTTGAAGAGAAATAGGATGCTGAATTGTCTCAATATATTTGCCTTAATAACTACAAAAGGAAAAAAGTAACAATACAGTAAAGGGTCACCTTAACCAAGGCATCTAAATTAGTATCAGCTCCAAGGAAAAAAAAAGTCATTTGCCTTCAAATACATATCCTGAGGAGGACATGATAATCACATATGCAGTATCATGCCCAAAATACATAATTCAAACACACTTTTTAAAGTGGCACTGCAGATCTAACCCAGGGAACGCTGAGATGCATCAGCTTTTTGGGAGGCTGAGACACAAGGATTGCATGTTCAAGCCCAGCCTAAGCAATTTAGCAAGATCCTGTCTCCAAGTTGAAAAACAAGAGCTGGGCAAGGTGATGCAAGTTAGAGGCCAGCCAGGGCTACATAGTGAGACCCTGTCTCAAAAAAAAAGGTGAAAAAAAAGGGCCACAGATGTAGCTCAGTGACAGAGTGCTTGCCTGGCATGTATGAGGCCCTGGGTTCAACCCGCAGTCCTACAGAGAGTAAAACAAGACAAAGTCTCAAATCACCAACTGAAGGGTTAAAATAGCTTTTTAACAAACCCAGTGTTTAAACAAAAAGCAAACTATTTCTTTACTCATCAGACGGCAGAAGGCATTAAGATGCACAAAAGTCTCTTCGCTGAAGAGTCTGTTTCCAAGTCCAGGGCTGCATGACGCGGGGCAAATGCAGTCCCTGAGAGTCAGGGCCACGCTCGAGGAGCCAGGCACACCCACCTCACCAGGCGCTGTCTCGGGGCACAGCCATTTCTCCAGCAACATGTCCCAGATTTTTTCCAAATTAATTTCATTGACTTCAGCTATTTCTCTAGCTGCTGCATGAATATCTAAGATATCAAAGATACAGAATTTAGGAAAATAAAAACTGGAGTCAGGCATGATGGTTCACACTTGTAATCCCAACAGTTGGCAGGCTGAGGCAGGAGAAGTGAGGCCAGCCAGGGCTACACAGTGAGTTCAAGGCCAGCATGGACTACATAGTAGGACCCTATCTCAACCTCCTCTACCCCTCCAAAAAAAAAGGAAAAGGAAAAAAAAAAAACCTCAAATTTTCAATATTAGGTAATCAGGAAATAAAAACAATAGCTCTTTTTCTATCAAAAAATATCCTTGTGCCTACCAGGATAATCTTTGCCAGACGAATTCTGCATTCTTTGGTTGATGCTGGGGTGCTCGTAGAGGCTGACGATGAGGTGGGCCGGCTTTCCGATCGCTCGTAAGTACTCCGCGGTGTTCAGCTTGTGCGCTATGAGCACAGCTTCTGTGCCCGAGCGCCGGAACTGGAGATGAAGCTTCTTCAGTAACGCCTGCGCTTTTTCACGTGTCTCATCCTTGTAACAGTTCCAAGTGACAGAAAGGCTTGACAAATCTGAGTGGAGGCTAAGCGCCCGCCTTTACCAGTCAGGGGCCCTCCCTTCCGAGCGGTACCCGAAACAGCTACTGCTCTGAGCCGGAGTCCACCCCTGGCCCCAGCATGAGCACCCACGTCAAAAAGAAAGAGCAGCCTGCGGACTTCAGACGCACCTGAGGCGGGATGTTCTGCAGCCACCTCTCGGCCAAGTACAGGCAGAACTTCAAACTGGACATCTTGAAGGAGCCTGAAACGAGAAAGACAAGATTTATGAGCAAAGCCAAGTCTTTCCAAGACAAGGCATGTTAGTCAAGTTACGAAATATTTTTAAATTATAAAAATCAATACTCAGTAAAAAAACAGTCGCACAAGACAAAAGATACAAAGAAGAAAGTCAAAGTCCACCAAGGCCCCTCCTCAGCCCCCATTCCCACCCCGACTCTCACATTCCTTAGTTTCTTCTGTGTGTGTGTGGGGGGGGCAATGCCGCCCACTGCTATGCTCACTTCATACCTGGATACCTTTCCAGCATTCCATTCAAAGAACATCCTCTATTTTGTTTTTAACCAGTTCTTGACTGATGAGCATTATAAAAAGATAGCTATTTTCAATTTTGCTACAACCAAAACTGTGATAATAAGTGCCTGTATCTATATACTTGATTATGTGATGCTATCTAAGGACTCGCCGTTCTAAGTATGGTTAGGTCCTAGGAATCAGTTTCTATTCCTATCCCCAAGTTGGATAGTGCCCGCGGTCCTGCTTCTGCCTGAGCAAGCCCCTTGAGTTCTGGAAACTCCAGCAATCCCATAAAAGGATGGACACACAGATTTTAAAAGACTGCTTCTCTTCAAACATGCAAGAAAAGAACAACCAAAAATCAACACAGCCAGAGCTGGGGTGCAGTCGGTGGCGGTGCAGTGCCTGCCTAGGATGTGTGAGTGCCTGAGTTGATCCCCAGTCAGGAAAGAATAAACATCAAAACGAAACAAAAAAGCCCGTGAACTGTGTGGAGCCCAGTGAGAGGAAGGCCGTGCACCTTCGGGGATCTCCTGGGTGAGGGTGATGGCGATGGCCACGGCCCACTCCGGGTTGATGATGGACAGCAAGTAGGACTCAATGGTCTGCGTGATCTTGGCTATCTCCTTGTTCATCAGGGCCGAGGACTTAGCTTGCATTAACTTCAGGAGCTTGGGCTTTAGGTTTTTCTCAAAAACGTGTTTCGCTGTGGAAACGTAGAGAGTATCTAGAGAGAACTTTGGAGAAAAAGAAACCAGTGTGAGACGCTCCCAACCAGGGTCAGGGTTGATTACAGCACAAAGAAGCCTCAGGCAGGTTGAATCCGTTACCTTCATTAATTTGGAGATTAAGAGCAGGGTTGGGAGGGACTCCTCACAGAGCTCTGAAGCTAGAAAGGAAACCAGAAGAGTATAATCTGATTAGGAAAAAAAAAATTATTGGGTCTTTGTTAAAATTCTTAAGAGGTTAGTGAACATACAGAGAATTTTCCAGAAGTTCTGCGCTGTGCCAAACAGTATCAGGTGGAAAGGCAGTCTGGTCTGGGCTGCGGGCGGCAGGGTGATGACGTGCTCCAGCATATACTGATACTCCAGGTCCACCGGCGGGGAAATTCTTCTGTATGACTCCAGATGTTTCAGAAGACTCAGTGCCTACATTAAAAGGAGCAAGTATTTTCCCTTGCTCCTTTTAATGTAGGCACTGAGTCTTCTGAAACAACTTCTTTCCCTAGGAGTAACTCCGTCCACACTGTCTCAAAATCACTCACTCTGCAGCTTCATGGGACTCCATTCCTCAGATCGTCACGCTTTCACCAACATTATCAAAACCTTTTCTAGTTTTCCTTGGCGTGTTACCTTCTAAAGCGTGATTTGTGTGACCATTGAGGAAATCAAACTGGGGGGAAATCAATGGTATCTTGTTAATGGCAGGATATTCTGTACATGAGCCTGGCAGTTCTTGGCAAGTTCTTCAAATACTTTGAGATACACTTCAAAACTATTTGATTTCATTTTATTTTTATTATTATTCATTAATCTTGTGATGTACTGGGGATTCAACCCAGGGCCTCTGCACTAAGCTACAACGCCACTCCTTTTTCATTGTAAGACAAGGTTTCATCAAGTTGGTAAGTCACCCAGGTGAGGCTCGAATTTGTGATCCTCCTGCCTTCGCCTCTCAGAGTGCTGGGATTACAGGTGTATGCTACCATCCTTGTTTATTTAATTACTTATTTCTGATACAAAGTCTCTGTATTGCTCAGGCTCACCTCTGAACCTTTGAGCTCAACTGACCCTTCTGCCTCAGGCTCCTGATTGGTTTTGACTACAGACTTGTGCCACCAGGCCGAGCTGGATTTCATTTTAAATATAGAGGCTATGAATCTAAAATTAATTCTCTGTATTTCTTATCCATTTTATGTTTTATTTGGGGATTTGTATAATCTTTTGAATTAACCTATTGTCTTTTATTTTTAGGACCAAAATTCAAAATGAAAGGATGTAGCTCAGTTGTAGAGTGCTTGCCTAGCACACATGAGGCAAAGGTTCAAATCCCAATACTGCCACCAAAAAAAGTTAATGAAGCCAGTGTGATGGCACATGCTGTACTCCCAGCACTAGGGGTGTGCGTGTATATGTGGGGGTTGAGGCTGGTGGATCACTGAAAGTTCAAGGACAGCCGGGGCTATATAGGCTCATCTTGTAGTTCAAGATGAGCCTGAACTACATAGCGAGATCCTTTCTCAAAAACAAACAAAACAGTCAGTTAATGAAAGTACTAGATAGAATGGGTGTCACTGTCCCCCCCATCAGTACACAAAGCTAAGTTCAGGCCCTAAGTTCAGGCCCTTTTTGGCTAGACGGCAAATAATGCTGCCTTCATTCTTCAATTAGCTCTTCAGCAACTTCTTACTCTTGGATAGCAGATTTAAATCACTTCAAAGCAGTAAAAACAGGACAAAGAGAAATGATAAAACATGGACAGCACAAGCCAGGTGTGGTGGCGCACGCCTGTAATCCCAGCATTCAGGAGGCTGAGGCAGGAGGAACCTTGGGAATTTGAGACCATCCTGGGCTACAAAGTGAGCTCAAGCCCAGCCTGAACTGCATAGCGAGACCCTGTCTCAAAAAAAACAAAAAAAAATCTTAAGATGCAGAGTTTATTTTGGATGCAGAGTTTAAAGGGAGCTGAAAGGGTAATCCAGAGGAAAATAAGACAACTGCTATATTACCTATAAGTAAAACCATAAAGATGATATTTAAATCTTTAACATATTTGTCATACCTGATTAATATTAATATTGGTTATCTTTTCATCAGCTCTTTCTATGACTTTCAGGACAACTTCAATCATTTCATAGTCATAGGGATCCAACTGTAAAAAAAAAAAGTGAAAATATATCAAAACCTGAAAAGATATTACCATGCTGATAGTTTTATTCAGTAATGTTCATTGGTACAAATTACAAATGTAAAATCTCAGTGCATTATAACTTGTATTATTTTTAAAAATAAACTAGCTGGGCGTGGTGGTGCAGGCCTGTAATCCCAGCACTCGGAAGGCTGAGGCAGGAGGATCCTTGCAAGTTTGAGACCAGCCTGGGCTACAAAGTGAGCTCAAGGCCAGCCCGAACTGCATAGTGAGACCCTGTCTCAAAAAGACCAAAAAAAAAAAAAAAAAAAAAAAAAAAAATCCCTAAAATTTTCTCATCTCTAAAGTTACATTGTGATAAATACACATGTTTAAAATATCTGGAAATCTACTAAAAAAGGTCTTATTATTTTAATAAAGATACTTTATGGTACCAACTACATAAAAAGAATAAACATATGGTCAAAACTTCGTAATTTTAAAAGATTTTGAAATTAAAGCTCTAGATTTTCTATTGATAATGAGAAAATTGAAATAGAAAGAAACTGGCCTTTTCTTGAAACTGACAACTAGAACGTGGGTCTTCATGCAGACCATTCTCAAAGAACTGTTTTAGTTTGAACTCTATGCTATATTTATTTATTTTTTTTCAGTGCCAGGAATCAAACTCAGGACCTTGCACTTGCCAGGCAGGCGCTTGTGCCACTGAGCTAGATCCCTGGTCCTCTATGCTACAATACAAGAACTAACTGGGTGCTATTCACCTCTCCTTGCAAAGAGGGAGCATGCTTTTGTTCTTTGTTTTTGCCTACCCACCATTACTTTTTTCTATTTCTTGAAACACCAACTAATATCACATGAGTAAGAGTAACAACACTGAACAAAGTAGGAAGATGAGCTATTGTACCCAGAAAATCTGAGCATGTCTACATAATTTTTGACTGAGTTACAGGCAAGTTACAAAACTGGTCATTTTCTTACACTCATAATCTTATTTTCCCTGCCATCCATCTTCATTCTCCCATCAAATTATCCTTTGATTTTAAAATTCCAACTGGATCATAGTGGCACACTCTTATAAGCCCAGCACTGTGGGAAGCTGAGGCAGGAGGATTACAAGTTCCAGCCCAGCCTGAGCAATTTAGAGACTTAGCAAGACTCTATTTCAGAAAGGAGGGGCAATGAGGATGTAGCTCCGCACGAAGACTCTGGGTTCAATCTTGGGCATTCCAAAAGGAAAATAAAGAGCCAGGGATGTAGCTCAGTGGTACAGCACTTGCCTGGCAAGTGCAAGGTCCTGAGTTCGATTCCCAGTACCAAAAATAAAAAGAAAAGAATAAGGACATATATGTATAATACAGTATAAAATGTAATAAAATTTACTAACAGTTTAAATGTCCATCCATTACAGACTGGTTAAATGCAGTACGGTTTACCCATATGGAAGAATAATAGGTGAATAGGATATACACCAGAAGGGAGTGTACTTGGTGTAGAAAGTCTCTAAACCAAACTATTCGCATTTTGCCCCTAGGAAGGTAAATATCTATCCTAGAGAGTTAAGGGAGAAGTGAGGAGGGAGGGGGCGAAAACGTGTTACATACATGCCCCAACCCCTCACAGTGAACGCAGTCATTCTGTACTACAAACACGTAATGACAAAAATTTTTAAAAATAAAAAAGAGTAGACTACAGGGAAATTTCCGTTTTCACTTGTACTTATCCCTAGCTTGATCCTTTTCAAACAATGTGTGCTATTTTTAAAAATCTTGGAAGGAAATACTATTTCCATTTTTTAAAAAGGCAAGATAGAAAAACTGCTGTATTAAACTGTACTGAAGGGGCTAGGGAGAGCGCTCAGCGGCACAGCGCCTGCCTGGCAAGCTCAAGGGTCTGAGTTTCATTCCCAGCACCAAAAAAAAAAAAAACCCCACAGACTGTACTGAAAATATAGGATTCTACAATTTCTCTATTTTTAAGTTTTTAAGAATACAGGACTGGGGGCCAGGGATTTAGCTCTGTGGTGCAGCATATGTCTGACTAGCATGAGCTCCTGAATTCAATTCCCAGTACCCCCACCAGAAAAAGAGAAAATACAGGACTGAAGCCTGGGGTGGTGGCATACACCTGTAATCCCAGCACTCGAGAGGCTGAAGCAGGAGTGCCACAAATTCGAAGCAAGCCTGGGAGCTCAGGGAGCTCAAGGATAGCCTAGACTATATAGGGAGACCTTGTCAAAAAAAAAAAACAGGACGGAGATACCCAGTTACTACAGGCATGTAATTAACTGAGGCGGGAGTGGTCTTCGTGAGGACTCCATTCATCTACCTTGCGTAGTATTCCACTAAGACTGATGACCAAATCTTTTGTGCTCGTCAGCAAGGGAACCATTTCGCTGGCTTTGGCCAAGAGCTTGGAATGCTGCTGCTTTGCAGATGCCGGGCTTGTGTCTCCGGGGTTCTGGCTGACGTTAGTGTTGTGCAGTAGTGTTTCAATAAATAGCTGAAGCGCCGCATCACAGTCCAGCTGAAATGTGCTAAAAGGAGCAGTCAGTCATTTCCATAAAAGGTTCTTCACAAACAACTCAGGTATTTGCTCCCAACATGTAATATACTTTACCCTTACTATTGTCCAGCTTTATAATCAGACAAAGGACACATGGTGAAAGCTAACTATCACCCAAAAAATGTCAGATGTTACTCTTAGTGGGTATGTAAACTGGTACAATATTAGAGGGAAATATGGAATAAAACTGAAAATATCTATGCCCTTTAATGTAGTAATGCCACTTTTACAAGTCTCATAGACAAAGACACACAAAGAAGGATGCTCACTGCTCCAAATGTTTGGGATGATTAAGATCTGGAACCAACTCAACGATCATTCAGGAGCTGGTTAAATAATATATCCATGTGAAGGAATATTCATACTGCCACAGATAATAAGATCTGTATGTAATGACCTTGCAAGATATGGTAACTGAATGACATAGGAAAAAATGATATGCAAAAAAAGATGCAAAACATAAATCTGTTTTTGATAAGTTTTATAATGTGTATGCTAGTACATGTGTGTAATTTTAAAAAAAGCCAAGTGTGATAATGCATGCCTATAATCCCAACACTCTACAGCATGCAGCAGGACGATCACTAATTCAAGCCATGCCTGGGCAATTTAATGAGATCCTGTCTCAAAAAAGGGCTGCAGCTGGGCGTGGTCACACACGCCTGTGATTTCAGCACTTGGGAGGCTGAGGCAGGAGGATCACTGTGAGTTCAAGGCCAGCCTAGGCTACATAGTGACTCACGGCTAGCATGAACTACAGAGTGAGACCCTGTCTCAAAAAAAAAAGGGCTGTGGATGTAGTTCAGTGCAAAGGCCCTGGGTTCAATTCCCAGTACTGCAAAAACAAAACAAAAATCTAAAAAACCCATAGTAGTTTTACAGTTTGTTACTATCCACTTTGAGGCTGCTAGTAGGAGTCTTGGAATGATTCCCCCATGGATGGCGGGGCACTACAGCACTCCGAAGAATATCTTTAAACTTTTCTGATCACAGGAATCACCTGGAGCGCCTATGAAAGAGCTGAGATTCATGGGCCTTAGCTCAGACTGCTAAGTCAGTACTGCCGAGAAGATGCTCAGGTATCTGTATTTTTAGTGAAGTGCCCTCTTACCATGAGGCAAATCTGAGAAACATGAAGTAATGAATTTAAAAGGTGACATCATAAGAGCACTTAATCGGGCACTGACTTTATTCAGTCAGGGCTGGCACAACATCAGCTGCCAGGTGTGGGGGCCACGCGATGACCACCTGGATTTCCGTGTTCTCACAGTACAGGTTACCAGCTGGCTAAGCTAACAGCAAGAACACGCCTAATACCTGCAGTATTCCAGAATGAGGCTTGTGTCCATATCTATATTCTCCACAAGAGCTTTAATGAGGTCTTTCTTGGTGAGGAAATGTTGCCTGAAAACTGGCTGAAAAGAAATCTAGGAATAAAAAGAGGAAAATGAAAAGAAAACTTTTCTGAACTGACATGTTTCACAATATGAGTAATATTAGGGCTTGCATTTTTACTTTTATTTCTTAAATAAAGAAACATTTTTCTATTTCTATAGTTCTTCCACCTTTTATTTGTATCATGCTGCCCCAACAGCCATTGTTCTGGGACGTGACCTCTCTGGCTGTGGGTCCAAAACAATCCTTCTCAGATGCCTTTCCCTTTCTTGCCTCTGCGTCAGTACAGTGAGCTGCTCACATCAGAGGGTGTCAGCCCATTACTGCGTAAAAATTAGGTTTCAAACACACAGTCACATTTCCGCAGTGATTACTTTCCTGCTAAATATACCGCTTGCAAATTAATGTTTCACATTTTTGGTAAAAAAAAAAAAAAAAAAATCTGCTCTTTTGCAAAGTCGAAAAGAAGGGCTGGACTGGGGATGCAGCTTAGCAGCACGGTGCCTGCCTGGAAAAAAAAAAAAAAAAAAATCTGCTCTTTTGCAAAGTCGAAAAGAAGGGCTGGACTGGGGATGCAGCTTAGCAGCACGGTGCCTGCCTGGCACGTGTGAGGCCTTGAGTTCAATTCCCAGTACTAAATAAATAAATGAAATAAAAAGAAACAAAGAAATCCATCATTAAAGTTGGAGCCCAGTTTAAGCAATTTAGCAAGACCCTATCTCAAAATAAAAACTAAACAGAGAGCTGGGGATGTAGTTCAGTGCCACAGCCTTGGGTTCAATCCGCAGTACAGCAAATAAGGAGAAAAACGTCTCTTTTTCCTTCTTTCTCTCCCTCCCCTCCTCCCTCCCTTTCTCCCTCCCTCCCTCTCTCCCTCTTTCTCTCTTTCTTTCTTTCACCAAACCAGGCATCGCAGCATATCCTTATAGTCCCAGCCACTTGGGGAGGCAGAAGTGTGAGGAGTTTGAGATCAGCTTAGGAAACACAGTGAGTTCTCATCTCAAAAAACGTAACAAGCCGGGCATGGTGGTGCACACCTGTAACCCCAGTACTCGAGAGGCGGAGGCAGAAGGATTGTTCCAAGGTTGAGGCCAGTCTGGGCTACACAGTAAGTTCCAGACCAGCCTGAATGACAAGGCTCTGTCTCAGAAAATAAAGAAAAACCCAAACCTTTAAGCAAGTAATAGCAGCAAAAAATAAAAATGTGGCACTAAAGGCTAGGCTTACCAGAGCCTAAATGTCAATTAATATTACATAGATTCCTATAAATTAGAAAGCTAAGCAGATGAAAATGCCAGGCTCCTTTTAAATGTCTTAAAAATATACAAAATAGGAAATGCGGTTAAAAAAAAGGTCCTTATTTCTTTGTGTGCTTAATGTAACTAAAATTTATGAGTTGGTACATACACATTCTCTCACAAAAGTAAAGGGCAATGAGATTTCTGTTTTAAATTCCCCAAGCAGGTAATTATCAGGATGGACGACACATAACAGGAATACAAATACTTACACCAAGTTTACCAAGACGAACACCCCACTTGGCATCAGTGCTCAGTTCATGGAACTGAAGCCCTATTTCAACCTCCTGATAGAGACTGGCCAGCTGGGAACCCACCAGAGATATCGCCTAAAAAAATAACATAAGGTTAAAAGTCCATGGCAAATAGAAGTTCTTCTAACACCTTTGAGATGAAAACAACAAAAACATAACCTTGGGCTAAGGATGCGGTGCAGCACACGCATAGCATGTGTGAGGCCCCAGGTTCAAGTCCCAGACCCTCTCCCCATCGTAACTATTTTTGTGATAAGAATATGAAGTGTTACACATTGCTTTGTACCCAGCCATTGATTCTTACACAATATTTAGACAGTTCAGCTTGTACGATGCCATAAATTTAGTCTGGCTTTTCTTTACCAGTGACATCAAATTTTTAGTTATCCTATAAGCAAAATCCTCATATATGGTCAGTTTTTTAAAACAACTTCCAAGGGAAGTTTTCTATCTCTGAAACTTTTCCCACATAAACAAACAAATAAACAACAACAATACAAACACCCTGAAGGGCCTAGGGTTTTAACTCACTAGAGTAAGTATAAGGCCTGAGGCTCTCGGGCTATATATAGATTTTATGAAATAAAAGGCTTCTTAATTCTTTGAACCAAGCAATGCCTGTGACTTGTGTATCTGCTCACCAGTCAAGCTGAAGCTGGGAAGAGTTATGTGCATCACATTTCCTCTAAATATTTCAGACTTGCTAGTAAAGTCATTACGTCCAGAATGGAACGTGTGCTTGCTTAGGACATACCAGAATTTTCTCATAATTCTGCCATGCTTTATCTATGAGAGTCCAGAGGTTTTCAAACACATCTTTTCCAGGTAAGAGAGTGCAATAACCCAACGCCAGCTCAAGATCCACGAGGCGACAATTAAATACCTGAAGGAAGAAAGCATCAAAAGAAGCAATTCTTCACAATCCAAACAGAATTAAGGATTTTAGGCACACTTGGCACCAAACTGACTTACAGACCATATGAAAAGACAAGTGTTTCATGAAGTATGTTTTTTTTCTTTTTTTGGTCTTTTTGAGACAGGCTCTCGCTATGCAGTTCAGGCTAGCCTTGACCTCACTTTGTAGCCCAGGCTGGTCTCAAATTCGCAATGATCCACCTGCCTCAGTCTTCCGGGTGCTGGGATTACAGGCGTGCGCCACCACGCCCGGCGAAGTATTTTTGTTTTAAACAGGGTCTTGCTAAGTTTGGTTTCAACTTGGCCGTTCTCCTGTCTCAGCCTCCTGAGCAGCTGGGATTGTAAGTGGAGAAAAGAAAATCTCATACAGTATTAGTGGGAATGTAAACCGGTTACAACCATTAGGGAAAACAGTGTGGAAGTTCCTCAAAAAATAAAAATAGAACTACCAGCAACCCCACTTTGGGTATATATCCAAGGAACTGAAATCAGGATCTTGGAAAGATGCCTGTACACCCATGTTCACTGCAGCATTATTCACAAGAGCCAAGATATGGAAACAACCACATGTTCATCTATGGCCAACTGGAAAAAGAAAACATGGTGTGTACATGAAACATGGTATATAATGAAATAACTAGCCTTAAGAAAGGAAATCTTAATGACTTGCCGGGGCATACCTATAATCAATCCCAGCTACCAGGAAGCCTGAGGCAGGAGAATCCCAAGTTCAAGGTCAGCCTGGGCAATTTAGCAGGACCCTGACTCAAAATAAAATAAAAAGAGCTGGTAATGTATCAGTGGTAAATTGTTTGCCTAGCATTCGTGAGGCTTTATGTTCAACCCACAGGACCACCCAAAAAAGAATATATTCTAGCCAGGCGTGGTGGCACATGCCTGTAATCCCAGCACTCAGGAGGCTGAGGCAGGAGGATCTTTGTGAGTTCGAGACCAGCCTGGGCTACAAAGTGAGCTCAAGGCCAGCCTGAACTGCATAGCGAGACCCTGTCTCAAAGAGACAAAAAAAAAAAGAATATATTCTGAAATCAAGGGACAAAATGGAAATGAGTCACTACCATTTCAAAAATGGGTACTGTAGTGTCAGTCACCATAATTAACAAAACAAAATAAAACAAAACATTAGCTACAGTGATGAGCTATAACACAGGTCCTAAAGAACTTTTAATGGTCAAACACTAATGCAGTGAATCTTAAGCTACCAAATCTTATGCACTCCTGACTGAAGTAAAAGGCAAACAGGCACACCAACAAGAACTGAACTCTTAACCTCACACTGCCAGGCAGGCGTTGTGCCACTGAGCTATATACCCGGCCTCATAAGTACTTACTTTGTGCAGCAGTGTTGTGACATTTCCCCTGATAAACATAGCAGATTTTTCTTTCAAGTCCATAACAATACGCCTTGAGTTAACTAATGTGGGTTCTCCAAGTAACTTTTAGAAATGAACAAAGAAAAGAATCATCAGGTCCACTTGTACATATCACACTGAAAACCTGTCTCAAATATTAAAGAACTTCGAAAATTCACGATATTATGCAAAATGGATTATCATTTTATCTCTCTCTTTTTTTTTTTTTTTTTGTCTTTTTGAGACAGGGTCTCGCTATGCAGTTCAGGCTGGCCTTGAGCTCACTGTGTAGCCCAGCTGGTCTCAAACTCACAACAATCCTCCTGCCTCAGCCTCCCGAGTGCTGGGATTACAGGTGTGTGCCACTACTTCTGGCAGCATTTTATCTCTAACACAAAAAAGCTGGCCCTGGTATCGGGGATTGACTGAAAAGGAGTGAAAAGGAATTTTTAAAGTTCTGTATATTTTGACTGAGGCGTTAGGAATAAAGTGAATATATTAGTTGACACACTTAAATATGTGGATCTTAATTTTGAAATCTATACCTCAATGAAATAGCTTAAAAAAAGAATATCAGCACTGAACACGTATCAACAGAGTAGGAGGAAAGAAGACCATTCCCCCTGAGAGGCAGCTTCACGGTAAGGTATGGACAGCTCTCTTAGCGTGGCTCACATCTCAGAGAGGTTTCACACAATCTTTCCCATAATGCTGTCAGGGAGTAACTCGGGCAACAACAAAGTAACAGAAGGGTACTGTACTGAGTTTGCACAGTGAGTGCTTTACCAACACCACCTAAAACCTTGGATAACTTATTTCACCTTCCAGAATCTGTCTCCACCTACACAGCTGCTATAAGGAGCAAGTGTGGACACGTGTGTGCTATGTAGTCTATATCTAGATGGCCCCCAAATCCTTACGGGCTCAGAGTAGGGGCAGCTCTGGGGAGGTGACTAGATCGTAGGGGTGTGATACTCATCAGTAGATTATTTCCCTGGTGAGTTTATAGCTAAATGTGATTTGGAAGTGAAGCCTGGTTAGAGGTGGGTCCCTGGGGCTTGGCCTGGAAGGGTCTCTATCCCTCCTCCGCCCTTGATGGCTCTGCTTCACTGCCACGCCAGGAGCTGTCTCTCCCCTGCCAGGCTGCCCTGCCTTAGAGCGGCCAAGTTCGGACTAAAACCTCAATGCACCGTGAGCCACACTAAGCCTCTCCTCCTTCAACTTGTGGGTGTCAGGTATTGTGTCTTAGTAACAAGAAAGTAACTCGCAGACACCTTGAGTTGTATCTGAATTTTAGTATCAATTTTAGTATCAATCATTCCCCTTGCTACAGAGCTCAACAGGAAAATGGGAACTCTGTATTTCTGTTTGGCAATGCTGTTACATTCTTATTACCCAGAGTCAAAGTATTTATTCTCGAAGCTATACCTTTTCACTCAGACTAGCATTCATAAAGTTTGATGCAGAGTGCTGCAGACAGTTACCAAAGGAGCCAACCACAAATTTGAGGGCCAGCTCCCACTGGCTGGATTCCTGAAGGTTCTCAAGCAGGGCAGAGATGGAACGAATAATGGGTAAAATAAGGTTGTCTCCTGTAAAGTGATAAAAAGATTTTAATGTTTAGATTTTTTTCTGTTTTGGGTACCGGAAATCAAACTCAGGACCTTGCACTTGCCAGGCAGGTCCTATGCCACTGAGCTACATCCCTGCCCCATTAAGTCTATTAGATAATGATACTTTTTTTTTTTTGTCTTTTTGAGACAGGACTCCTTGTGCAGTTCAGGTTGGCCTTGAGCTCACTTTGTAGCCTAGGCTGGTCTCGAACTTGCAACAATCCTCCTGCCTCAGCCTACCGAGTGCTGAGATTACATGCACGAGCCACCACACCCGGCTATATTTTGGATAACAACCACTTCTCTATACGGAAGAACTGAACTTTATGAACAGATAAGTACATGGTAATACTGTCAGCCAAGTCACATAATCTCCCAGAAGAAGAAGAATGAAATAACTATATAATTACATGACGACCGTTAAGTCAAATTCTTACTCAGAATTTCAAGGAATTTCTATATTACATATTTATAAAATTATCATACACACTGTAGTTCTTTCTTCCTTTTTCTATCTCCAGTACTAGGGATTGAACCCAAGCCCTTCACACTGAGCTACATCCCCAACCCTTTTATTTATTGAAAATTTTTGAAACAGGGTCTCACTAAGTTGACCAGGCTAGGCTTGAACTTGCAATCCTCCTACTTCAGCCCCCTAGAGTTCTGGATTATAGGTACACACCACCACAATCAGCCACGCTATACATTTCTGATGTCAAATACCTTCACTAATGGAGCAGTAGGGCAAACTTATAGAATCCAAGGGGTATCTTTTGTTTTCTACAAAAGAGAATAATAAGTTAAGTAACACTAAAATAACTGGCTATAAAAAACATAGGTCCAGATATTTAAATATTGCGCTATTAACAAATAATGTTCTAAGGCAAATTGTTTTAAACATTTTTTAAATTCATTCAAAAAAATACAATTTGATAAATTTCTACAAACTGAATATAGAACCCTCAAGATCACAAAATACAACATTACCAGCACCTCGCAGCCCCCTTGTTCCCCTGTGCAGTCATTACCTTCCCCTCAGGGTAGATACTACCTTGACCTCCAACAGTATGTTTTTTATCCTATTTTTATACTTTTTGTAAGTGAAACTATACAGTATATAAGCAGTTGTATCTGGCTCCTTTTGTTCAACTGTGCTTGCAAAATTCATCCTTTTTTTATTTTAAAGAGAATAAAAAAATTAATCCATGTTTTTGTGTATAGTTTTAGTCTAACCCTCCATACTTTAAATTTGCATAAAGCAGATATGCAGAAAATCAGTGAGATTTACCTGCAAGAGGGACAAGTGATGAAATCAACTCATAAATTACTGGTAGCACCACCTGTGATTCAAGAACGATTCCATCTTCATTGAAGAAGTCACTGTAAGACCACTCCTCATATGGGTCCTTATGAGTTCCGAAAGAAGTCTACATAGACGGGTCATACAGAAGGGCCAGAAGTAAATGTACTGCAAACCCCAGACAACATCTTCACCAAGCAGAATGCGGAATCATGTATGTTAGGGCCACAAAGCCTTAATGATTAAATACAGCCATGCACAGTCAGTCCTCTGTCTGTAGCTTCCACAGCCACATTTTCAACCAACTGCACAGCAAAAATATTCTGAAAAATAAATCTGTCTGTGCTAAACAAGAACATGCTTTTTTGGTCAGTATTTCCTAAACAGGGCTGGGGATATAGCTCAGTGGCGCAAGCGCCTGCCTGGCAAGCGCGAGGTCCTGAGTTCGATTCCTGGTACCAAAAAAAAAATATTTCCTAAACAATACAGTAAAACAATTATTTACATAGCACTTACATTGTATTAGGTATAACAAATAATCTAGAGGTTACTGAAGTATATGAGAGGATGGGTGTAAGTTACAACTAGCAAACACTACGTAACTTTGTATCAGAGATTTGAATTCACAAGTTTTGGTATCTGGAAGAGGGTCCTGGAACCAATTTCCCCCATGGGTACCTGTACTCTGTGCTTTTTCTGGTATATGGCTTATAAAAACATCATTTTAAATTAAACTCTAACAGAAGGACAACGTTGAGAAAGGCCTCTCTTGAGGTCTAATGTTTCAAAAGACAGTATGAACCAAAGCAAACAAAGTACTAGAAAAGAGAAATGGGTTCATGCCCTAAGTAGTATGCTAGCATAGGATAAGGAAATACATGAGGCAGATGCTGTATTTTTCTAAATTGCAGATGCGATTTAAAAGTAGTGCATAATGGGTTGGCGGGGCTTTTGTTAAAGGAAAAAAATTCAAAAGCGATTTACTTTCATTAGGATTCCACAGTCATCCATTTGGCATTGTCTGGAAAGCTCCACCGCTATCAAAGTATATTTACACAGTTCTAAAGCATCTAGTAAAAAATCTGAAAGTAGAGAAAAATTATCAAGCTTCTATTTTAGATATTTAGAATAATGAAAATAACCTTTTTATTGTTCCCACTCTATAAATTCTAACAAGGGTCACAAAGTAGATAGAGAGGTATTCACATAACTTTTTTTTTGAGGCATGGTCTCACTATGTAGCCCAGGGTAGCCTTCAACTCATGGTGATCCTCCTGCACCAGCCTCCTGAGTGCGGGGATCACAAGTGTGAGCCACCACACTTACCTACATAGCTTTGACTACCCTAAATATGGGTCAAGTTTTTTGTTAAAGTTAGCTTACAAGATCAGATATGGCGAGATAAGGATTCTCACAATCCTACAAAAATGAGTATGGTCTACAATCAGAAACAATACTGTTAGTATTTTGATTTCAAAGCTATAATCCCCAAAGAGTCCACTACAGCTGTTCCTTTACGAGAAGACACTCTTGTCTATTCCAAGGCCCAATTATTAACAGATAGCATTTGGGAGACAAGTGTGCAATAAATCAGAGAACAGAAACCACTATAAATTTTGTTACCTGGACTGCAGATGGTGACAGCCTGGCAAGCTAGGTCATGTATCTCAGAAGGAAGGTTGAGGCCCACAGGTGCTGTCACCAGGACATCATTGGCCAACATCTGACAAAGCTTCTGACACGTCAGAAACAGGACTCTCCCCGTGTCAGCGCTGCTGTGATACTTAAACAGGTCTCTTTGGAGGAGAGAAAACTGGGTAACTGGAACACTTGTATTAAGAGCAAATGTATTTGCCTTTCTGGTATTAGTATATAACCACTATCAGCAACACATAAAACAGCTCTGAAAAATTTTTTTTGTCTTTTTGAGACAGGATCTCACTATGCAGTTCAGGCTGGCCTTGAACTTACTTTATAGTCTAGGCTGGGCTCAAACTCGCAGTGATTCTCCTACCTCAGCCTCCCAAGTGCTGGGATTACAGGCGTGCGCCACCATGCCTGGCTTCTAAAATGTTTTTGGAGCATACAATGTTTCATTTTCAAATTATTTGAAAGACATGTCAAACCCATGTCAAAAATGTATGTAGCCTAAACCCAATGGTTAAGTTACTTAACTCTGCAATATCTGATATTTGACTTTTATACTAATTTCTGACACAGAAGCCCACAGTAGGCTCATGCGGTGAAAAACAAATTGCTTTTAAAAAAAAGTATCACGAGCCCTGCACTTATTACTAAAGAAACAAAGCGAGTGTTACTCCAGACAAGCTGGGGTCCGGGCATCACCTGCATTTGTTCAGCGCCGCTCCGATGTTCTCACCCCGTAAGGCTCTCCAGGCCAGCTCTGCCTCCAGCTCCTGCGCAGACACCTGTAGGGCCAGGGCCTGTCTGTGTAGCTTGGACCTGGTGCTCAGGCCCGCCTCCTCCTGGGCATTCTCGTGACTGCTAATGTACTGCTCACGAAGATCGGCTAGCAGGGCACTGCTGCTATAATCATCAAACGAAAGAAAGACCTCAAAGTTCTCCTGCAGCAAACATAAGCAAGACAAAGTCCTAAGTCCTTTTCAGGTTAGCCAGTGGTAAAAATCACCATTACACTTCAAACTTCCCCTTATCCCCTCTTCCTCAGACTACTCCCTTGCAAATTAAGAATTTGAGACTTTAAATTTCAAACTATAAAACTAGTATTATAAAAAGCTCAGACAGACTGGAGGTGTACCCAGGGCAGTGCGCTTTCCTATGTGTGCAGCTCAGGTTCAAGCCCTGGTTATCAACCAATATAACTGTGTTGCGGAGAGCTGAGTGGGGATGAAGGGATTCAGCATTTGGTTTCTGCAAATCTGCCCTGGAGGCCTAACAAACAGTCTTGCTCTTTAACTTCTGGTCGGCTGCTAACTCCAGACCCAGGATCTATTTCTCCAACTCACCAGAAATCTCACTGATGCCCAGAAGAAGACACCAGAAGGTATCGGGGGCGGGCAAAGGAGGCCCTTTGCATTGATGCTGTATTTTAGAGCGCGGTTCCTCATCTCCATGACAGTTGGAAAGGGACAGTCCTTTGCTGTGTGCGGCTGGCCGTACACATTACAGGACTGCCGATAGCCTTTCTATCCTCCCAACAGCTGTGACAATCAAAAACAACTCCAAACTTACCAGATACCCTCCGGATGGAGTGACAACAAGCTTAACTTAATAAACACTGACCATTTTCTCAGTGTTTCCTTTTAATCTTTCATTAGTATTTTATGGCTGCACTGTATGATTTCTTACATTACCTTTTTCAATTAACAATACGTAATTCCCCTTTTCCCTGTATTTAGAGTCTTCATAAATATAATAACAATTTTTTTTAAGACAAGGTCTTGTATGGTGTCCAGGCTGCACTAGAATTCAAGTTCTCAAGCAATCCTCCTTCCTCAGCCTTCTGAGTTACTGGTATGTGCCACCATGTTTGACTATAAATATTATTTTTGATGGTAGCATAGCACACATCTATAGTAAAGACAAAATGTATAAAATGTTACAGTGTTTCCAAACTAATGCTTTCCTAGCTGGGTGTGGTGGCACATGCCTGTATTCCTAGCACTTAGGAAGCTGAGGCCGGAGGATCATTGCAAGTTTGAGGCCAGCCTGGGCTACAAAGTGAGCTCAAGGCCAGCCTGAACTGCATAGTGAGACCCTGTCTCAAAAAGACAAAACGAACAAAGAAAAAAAAACAAACAAACAATGCTTTCCTTCCCAAAACATTAGTGATCTTTGCTGAAGGGGGCTCACCGGGCAAAAACAAGTACACACGGCAATTGATAGGAGAGCGCACATCTGGTGCTTACTATGGACGTGCGACTGAAGACTGCCTGTCACAACGCCTCCTCACTAGGAGCTACGGGCTCTCTATGCCTGCAGAGCCACGCAAGGACTTCCACAAGGACATACGAGAAGCCGCTGACAGCGGTTACAGCCCCGTGGGAAAACGGATAGCTGGAGCATCAGGGAAGGACGAAAGCTTACTTTTCATCATAGGGTACACAGTTTTCTGCCTTTTTTTGGAGGGGCCAAAGAATTAATTCTTTCTTATCTATAATATGCACAGAAATAATTTAAATAATAATTTAATTAATTTAAACTTTTAGTTTGGTAAAATATATGTAACACACCTTCACCTAGACTTTTTCCATGCTGTATTGTGTGTATATCACCTTTTCAAAAATAAAATATAAGCATGATTAAATGACTTCTCTTTAATGGATTAAGCCACCAAGAAGTTTCCCTTCTCTTAATGTGCACTTTTCCCAAGGAATGCAGTTTCTGCATATCATCAATAGGGTTCTAAGTTTTACGCGGCGAGCACTTTTCAAATTTAACCATCTTATTTTAAGTGATGAATGCTAGTGAGAGGCTAAGCGATAGAATAAGCAAGGGCGTGGGGGTCAGCAGGAATGGGGACAATCTGCGGTACGTCTTTACCTGCAGGCTCGCTACCATTTGAAATCGTTTCAGGGTTTCTTCATATTCATCCTTCTTCTGGAGATTGTCTGTAATTAAAATTTTAAAAGTTATAGCACACAGGCAAATTCCATAGGCCATGTTTTGAATATGCCTCCAGAATTTTATGTGTGTGTTAATGGTACCAAGAGGTGACTTGTGGGAGGAGACAGGGGTCGTGGGGGCTCCAGTTAACGGTTTATTGCAGGAGTGGCTTTGGATTAAAAGCGGCCTCTCTGGCACTTGAGCTGAGAGCTACCCGCAGGGATGTTCCGAAGCAACAAGGAGCCCTCACCAGAGGCCAGGTAGAGGTCAGTGCCAGGCTCTTCATATTTCCAGCCCCGAGAACTCTGAGCTGAGTAAACCTGAATTCTCACAAGTTACTGTACCCAAGCTCAGGAACGTGGTATAGAAAATGGTTAAAATACCACGTCATAAAAAATTTTAAAAGCTGAAATGTTAATTAGCTTTGGTTGGTTAGCAGTTCTTTTCAGTTGTTGATACAAAACAATGTAAGTCCAATGTAAGCCTAATCTGAAAAAAGAAATCTATTCTCTCTGGAGGTAGAAAAGGGAAATTAAAGGGTTATGAGAAAAATGGGGTTATTCTGATATACTGTAGCTTTTCCCTCCAAGAGAATTTTCTTAACTGTTTCCAGTTCAAACTTAAAATTTAGCCTCAATCATACTCAACTGATACATGAGAAAAATGAGCAAGGTTCTAAAAAAATCTAGTCTAGCACTGAATGGCTTATTGCACCACACGTACAAGCAAGAGAGAAAGTGATTTTACATGCTTCTGTTCTTACACTTTTGATAAAATAAACAAGGAGGGCAGATTTTTCATGAAGAAAAATGGGTAAAATCAGTACAGATAATTAGAAGTAGGAAAACTATGGCTGTAGTAAAAGCTGTCACTGGTGTCCTGCCTGAAAAGGATGAGCTTTTGTTTTTCGTTCTTCTTCCAGTACCAGGAATTGAACTCATGACTTTGCGCTTGCCAGGCAGGAGCTTTGCCTTTGAGCTAAATCCCCAGCCCTAGGATGAGCTTTCGAACAACACGAGGACAAGAGACAGAAACTACCTTTGTGAATGTCACACAGTATTTTAAGAATGTCCACTGACGTCTTTGCCACAGAGATTCTCCAGGCCTGGTCCTAGAAGGACAGAAGCAAAATGAAACGCACTTCCTTTACCAACCACTTTGGCAGTACACATACGAGCACAGAGGAACACCGGAATCATGAACTGCAGTGAGGCTGCAGCGAGGTGGTACAGCGCTGGCCTAGTTGTGTGAGGCCCTGGGTTCAACCCCCAGCACTGCGAACAAAGAAAAACAAAACAAACACCCCAAGAAATCAGAAAAAACAATGAGAGTGGTTGAAAAATGAGAAGTCCACATTAGGAGTAGATGGGAGGTCACAAAATGAACCATAAATGACTCTTATATAGGATATGATAATCATCAGCATAGGCTTTTCAATATATAATTTAGAAATCTCAGAGCATGTTCAAATCTTTCAAATAACCTCACAACTGCACTATAATTAACAGATCCTCAGTCTTTTTTATAGAATTATTTACTCTAAACATTTGGAAATATTCTCAAGAAAAGTTAAAAAGAACAGATGTTTTAAAAAAAGCTTGAAAAACAAAAGTCTAGCTGAGCGTGGTGGCGCACACCTATAATCCCAGCACTTGGAAGGCCGAGGCAGGAGGATCACCAAGAGTTCCAGGCCAGCCTGGACTATCTATAGCGAGAGTCTATCTCAAAAAAAAGAACAGACATTTAATAAACAATCACTGCTACTACTTCCAGTGATTATTATAAAGCTTTTAAAAAGAGGAGAGAAGGAAAAAGAGGGAGAAGCTTTAATACAAGGATATGAAGTGGGGGCTGGGCTCAATGTGAGAAGTGTGAAGCCTCAGCATGCCTCTCACCCAGCACACGTATGTGCATACCCAGGCACACACACACAGAGCAGACACAGCATATCAGATGGAGTATGCTTTTTTTGTTTTTTTGGGTTTTTTGTTACCAGAAATCGAACTCAGGGCCCTGCACTTGCCAGGAAGGTGCTGTACGCTGAGCTGACAGATGCCCAGTCCTTCAAACGGAGTCTGAGCTGAGGCTGTGCCATTCTGAATATTGTGAGGAAAGTCACTTGTCCTAACAACCCAACCACCCTGGGTAAACACATGATAAAAGAAGTGAAATGGCTCTCTTTCACCACTGGAGTTTCAACTAAGATGCCTTAGCTTTACGTTGGTCTGTCCATTCCTACACAAGAGAGTATTCATATTTCCAGGGGAAATCCTTTATGTAAACGGCCACTTCAGTTAATCCATCTAACTCACAGACCCTGGCAGTGGGCTAAATCAACTGCTCAAAAGTAGCCGTATTTGGTTGTTCCTTTTTCTAAAAATTAAGTTTACTGGTACATTTTAGGTATATGTAATGATCACATTCATCATAGGGAATTTGTACTTGTACATGATATAACTGTAGTTATTGGTTTTTTTTTTCCTTGTTCTCCTCCCCTCCCTTCAACTCCTCTTCCCTTCCTTATCTACAAAAGCTTTTCTTCCCATTTTTTCCCTTCTTTTTTTATCCTTTTTCCCTTCCTTCCATTCCCCGTCTCCCCTCCCTAGTTCCTCTTCCCATTTGAACATTTTCTTCCCATTTCACAATATCTATTATATATTTTGGTCCTTATTTACAGTTTAGGTTTTTCACACCAGAGAAACAATGCAATATTTACATGTGTGTCTGATTTATTTCATTTAAGGGCATAGTCTCAAGGTGCTGCTATTTAGATAAACATGTCTCAAGCTTATCCTTCTTTATGGCAAAGTACTACTCCATTGTATAAAAAACTCACATCTTCTAGTGCTATAGTAAGAAGGGTCACAATCCATTTATGGAAGTCTGTCTCCTCCACCTTCTTGATTAACGTCTGTAAGAACCGAGTTTATTTATATCTCACCTCTGCAGAATGGTCTGGCTCTTCCTGCAAGGCCAATCGTGCCCAGATGATGACTCTTTCTGCAGTTTTCTCTGCTTCTGCAGGAGGCAGAGACCTCAGCAGAAGGAGACAGTCTTCGCCCTGTGAATAGGCAGACAGCGGGAACATTAGCTGGTGTCTGCAGAGGACAACCTGGCCTTACCTCTCTCTCTTCTACTTTAAGATGACAAGAAAAACAGAAAAAGAACCTGACCCCAGTTCCCTAGCAAGCAAGAAAACCCAGGTTTGTTCTCTGGTATTATAAAAGAAAGAAGAAAGAAAGAAAGAGAGAAAGAAAGAAAGAATGAATGAAAGAAACAAAGAAAGAAACTTGGAAAAATAGATTATAGTTCAGTTTTTGGGGGAGGGTGGTAATGGGAATTGAACAGAGGGCTTCACACATGGTAGGCTAGCCCCGGCACTGAGCTACATCCCTAACTCATTAAGTAAATTTAAGATACAACCCTAGAAACTAAAGATGAGTATACTTCTTAGGCATGCCTCTCACTGTAGGATTACACAAAAATAAAGACCCTTAAAAATATAAAAAAGTAGGCCCGGCGTGGGAGTGCACACCTGTAATCTCAGCACTCTGGGAGACTGAGGCATGAGGATTACCACTTTGAGTCCAGCCTGGGCAACTTATCGACTCAACAACTTAGCAAGTCTGCATCTCAGAATAAAAAATAATACAGGAGTAGGCACGTAGCTCAATGCAAACACACTGGGTTCAAGTTCCAGTACTGAAAAAAAAACCCATTAACTACATTTAAAGAACCAACAGACATGAAAAACATGGCCACTTTAATAGTTTGTTTTCTTATTGGTATAACTATGTTTCGTGAAACTCAGTTTGAATAATTTGATTTGTCTCTGTTTTCAAGGATTTAATTAACAAAGAAGCCCTACGAAACAATAAACTTTCATACCTGCTCTCTATCGATCAGGTCTATAATTCTTAAACTGTAGATCTCATCATCAGACAATCTATAGCCCTGGGCCACCTTTAGAGCATCCTCCAAGGAAGACGGGACATCTTGTTTGAGAATGTATCTGACCACGCGCTGAAACGAGACAACGTGCATGCTGCTTATCACAGAACAAAGAGAAGCCAGGAATGATTGGCTTATCAGAGCAAAGCATCCATAAAATTAAAATAATGCAGGAAAAAACCAAGCCGTATGAAAGATTTCAAATGATTTCTATTCTGAATCTCGTGACAGTCCTGGCATTCTTTGTGAGCTTCAGTTACAATTGTTGCCCTTAGTACTCTCACGAATAACTAAACACCCTATTTACGATGTACCTAACAAAATAGTGGAAAATCTAGTTCCATTGACTTTTTACAATATAAAATCTTCATTCAATTTCCCGTGCTACCTTGAAATAGAAAAAAGATCCTTCAGCTAGTGAACTTACCATTATTTCATTGTTTAAGAGATTCACTTCTCTTATTCCATACCCTCGTAAAAGCTTTTTCATCTCCATTAGCTTGTAACTTTCCTGTAGTAACTTGACTCTGAAAGTAAGTTTATTGATGTTAGCATGGATCATCATTCTTTTTTTGGAGACAGGGTCTCCCTATGTATTTCAGGCTGGCCTTGAACTCACTATGTAGCCCAAGCTGGCCTCGAACTCAGCCATCCTCCCGTCTCAGCCTCCCCAGTGCTAAGATTACAGCAGTGCACCAGCATAGCTGGCTGGATCATCTTTTTAATGAAATACTATGGAACAGTCAATGAAAAATGCGAGTGGATACCAACACCACACAGATGCTAAGTGGTCAGGCGGGCAGCTTACTTGGGATGGTCCATCTCCAGGTGCTGCTTCACGAGCTGCTCCACAGCCGCGCTCCAGGGAACCACGGCCTTGTACATGATCTTCAGCACCGCGTCAAAGATGAGCTGCAGAGAGACCGCACATGAATGCTAAAGGCCCCCGGGACCTTTTGCCACTGGCGTAACCAGTCTCAGATTATTTCCTCTTCCAGCCATAAATGCACAAAATTTCTTCCTATTTTCACACATAAAGGAAACTTTATTATTTAGGAAACTTCACAAAGATATTTTATCTGCTGAAACATGGCAGTCATAGTCTATGCCATTATTCTACAGTGGGCAGGCTCTGTTTAAAGTTAATTTTCATGATTTTACTTACATCATGTTTTATAATGGTAAATAATAATAATGTGATGTCAAGCTAAAGGAATAATACAGCATATTGAAAACATGTCTCCGTGTTTGAACAATCATAGAAACCCTGGAGAGATCTGCACCTGCTTGTCCATGGCAGATCTTCTAGGGGTGGGAATGAGAACATTTCCACGGTTTTGGGGTTTTTTTTTTTTTGAGGGGACAGGGGTCTTCCCATATACTGCAGGCAGGTCTCAAACTCATAGTGATCCTCCTGCCTCAGCCTTCTAAGTGCTGGGATTATAGGCATGTACCCCCACGCCTGGCTCAACTTTTTATTTTATAAAATAAAGGGAAAAAATTACAAGTGGTTTTTATTTTTTATTCCTTTTACATGCTATACAAATGCTTAATAAACATGTCACTTTTGTGATGAGAGTATCTTTTAAGATCCAGTGCTGCAACGGAAAACATGATGGTCACCAAGGTTACTCACATCTGTGTCAGACAAGCATCCAATAACAGCCATGGCCTTTGCTTCCCAAGCTGTGTCGAACAGGGATGTGGACTTTGAGCTACACCTCTTTAGTAAATCCTAAGAAGAGATAAACATGGATATGTTTTCAAAAATTAAATTCCTCACTAAACAACTGCAACACACAGAGATAGATTTAAGTGGCCTTTATGGATTCATAAAGCAACAGAAACAAAATCCTACTTAGTCATGAATGTGGAACAATTATGAAAAATTATACAGGATAGGGTGGTGCATGCCTATAATTCCCGTACTTAGGGGAGGCAGACGTGGGAAAATCTCCATGAGTTCAAGGGCCAGCCCGTGCTACATAGTGAGTTTAAGGCCAGCCTGAACTACATGGTAGGACTATCTCAAAAAACACAAAAGGAAATTTGTCAAAACTTTAGCACTTAATTTTATAGGTATAGAAAATGTAAAAAGAAATCCTTGGGCAACTTGAGAACATACTGTTCAGTGAAACAAGCTGGACACACAAGATCAAATACTACACAGTTTCTCTCTCTCTTTTTTGGTTTATGCAACTTTACTGAAGAAAGATAAATAATTACTAGCAGAGCTATTTGACCACTCACGCACTGACAACTGGCGGCTTTTACTCAGTGCTATATTAAACAGTGTATTGGAAGGTAGATTAACTAATAACTCCAAGCCTCCTAACAATTTAAATGAAAATCACAAAATGTTTTGCGACCTTATTTTGGAATATAAAGAGTGTCTGAGATCTAATTTCTATTCTCTGTAGAACAAGAACAGGTCATTCATGCCTTTATTGACATGGATGAAATATACCACATCTTTGGTTCTGCTGATGCTATAATTGAATACCACCTCTCCAGCCACACCAGTTGTGAGCAGAAAGTGGATCATGTAACCTCAAATCTCTATCAGCAGAAGGCTTAAGAGGAATGGATGCTGCTTCACCCATGTTTATAGCAACACCGTTTGTAATAGCTAAACCTTGGAAACAAACCGAGACAAACCAAGTGCCCATAAACTAGTGAATGGATAAAGAAGATGTGGTTTCTTTATATAATGAAGTGCTCCTCTGCCATAAAGAAAGGTATGCTCGAGACATTTCCAGGAAAATGGATGCCCTTGACTCCACAGTCTTTTAAGGAAAATAAATCGGACGCACACGTGTGAATACCACATTGTTTCTCTGGTATCAGAAACCAAAAGTGTAAATAAGGACCAAAATGTATTCTGAAGTAGGAGAAAAATGTTCAAATGGAGAGGAGAACATGAGAGAGGGAGGAGGAAAGGAAAGAAGGGCAAAGTTAAAAAAAAAGGGAGAAGAAAACATGGAAACAAAGGTTTGTAAATGGGGAGGAAAGGAGGGGGTGAAGGGAGGGTAGGGGATGGGGAGAAAACAAGTTATATCATGTACGGGTACAAATTCTCTATGAGGAACGTGATCGTTATATATATATCTGAAATGTAACAATAAAATCTAATAAAAAAATAAAAAGAACGGATGTTGCTAGAATAACGCTGCTTCCTTCCTTCTCCTGACAACCGGGCATCCGTCTCCCCGCTCAGATGGTTTCTCCACAGTTAGAGCTGTGAGGAATGGTTTCTTGTCTCATATGCATGGTTTCTTTTATGTAAGAGACACACACATAAAAGAAAGACAAAACATACACAAATACACACAAAAAGCAAGTAGGGAGAAGTTCCCAAGTTACATATTCCATTGCTTTAAAAATATTGCAATACATACGCTAACATGTTTTAATTAGTTTATTTCAGTTCATTGAAAAATAAGTGTGTGTTGTTATCTGTTTCTTTGTCCCAAGAATCTTTTGGGTTTATGTTTTGTACTCAGTAACTATATTGAAGATGACGATACAGTGTATTAACCGCTATTATTCTCTTAAAATTTTAAGTAGTTTCATAATTTGAAATTTCATTTTATTTTTTCATAGAATAAAAAAGGAAAAACTTGAAAGATCTACAAGTCAGGTTACTACAGCATAGTGTGTACAAAAATAATTGACAGAGTCAGGCACTGTGATGCATACCTGTAATCCCAGCACTCAGAAGGCTGAGGCAGGAGGATCATTGTGAGTTTGAGGCCAGCCTGGGCTATAGTGAGCTCAAGGCCAGCCTGAACTGCATAGGGAGACCCTGTCTCAAAAAAAAAAGAAAAAAAAATATTGATAGGCTGAGGTGCTAGAGTATGTGCTATGCACGTACAAAGTCTTGGGTTTTATAATCAGTGTAAAAAGAAAAAAATGTAGTATTTATTGAGTTCATTTTCCTTTTAGCTCACAACAGTGCTTAGGAGAAAGTCCCATTGTGGTTTCGAGACGGCGGTCTCGCATTTGTGGGCTCCGGGGTTCTTCCCCGTTCAGCCTCTCCAAGAGCCGGGATCACAGGCGCTCATCAGTGTGCCCCGCTCCTATTTTCTGCCTTGTTCAGGGTACTCGCTGACCAGCACAATTAACCCATTTTCTTAACCAGTACAAAATGCTGCGTGAGTCCCAGCGGTAAATACGATACTCCTTACAGAGTTGGACATTTAGTCCGATGGAGTGGCTGAGCAGCTCCCAGAAGCAAGGCTGGATCTAAACAAACAGTTACCTCTATGTACAGCAAGAGCAATTCCTCCTCTTGTAAGTCATGTTCCCGCATGTAAACTCTGACAGACTTCTCTAAGGTGGAGGGGATAAGTTCTGGGGCCGACACTCTGTCGAACATTCGAAACACGATGCTGGTTGTGTTTTCCTGGGTGACAGACAAGGAAAATGACAGAACTGCAGGCTCCAGCCACAAATGGATGCAAGAAGCAGAACGATGTTGACCAGCCTGGAATTTACCTTCTCTAAGTCAGAGAGGGCCAGTCTGCAGTTGTACTTCCGGTACAGCGTGACCAGCTCCCTCAAGTTATTCACCAGAGCCCGCAGCTGACACGCCTCCTCCGTGTGCTGGAAATCCTTCTGAAATGAGAGTACTAGATGGTTAAGGATATAAAATGAAAACGTAAGAAGGAAACAGTTAAGCTTACTTCAACACTCTTCTTATTTTTCTTTTGAGAGAGGGTCTTGCTCAGTTGGCCAGGCTGGCCTTAAATTGTGACCTTCCCCCTTCCACCTCCCTAGGAAGTAACATTACAGGCCTCCACATTATCTCCCCCAATGTAATGAACATTTTCAAAAATTCGGAAACTCCAAAGGGAAAAGAAATTAAAGAAATTTACAAGCCAAATAATAAATTTTGTATTTTTGCCAAATAGTAAATTTTGTTCATTAACCTGAAGTATAAAATCAACATTCCTGATCTTAGTTCCTCATCTACCACTGGTTTTATTTATTTATTTACTTATTTAGTCAGTCTTTTTGAGACAGGGTCTCGCTATGCATTTCAGGCCAACCTTGAGCTCACTCTGTAGCCCCGGCTGATTTCAAATTCGCAACAATTCTCCTGCCTCAGTCACCCGAGTGCTGGGATTACAGGTGCCAGCCACCACACCCGGCTTCTACCACTGGTTTGATTTTGTTTTGTTTTGTCTTCATTGCTGGGGATTGAACTGAACCTAGAGCCCTACCCATGCTAGGCAAGGGCTCTCAGCAAGCTACATGGCCAGACCACTGCTGTTTTTTCAAACTGTCAGACAGTCTCATGTTTTTTACAGTTTGATCCTAAAAACAAAAACAAAAAAAAAACCTCACTGATATTTTAGCCCTAATAACTGTGTGAATACCTAGCAAATGCCATCAGATAAAGCATACTAGTTTAGACAGAAGTCCTGGTTGTACATGAAAACTAATTGTAATATGTTAGTAAGTTTTGTTCTTTTAGGATTGTGAAATGCTGCTATTGTATAACACCCAATTATACTACTCAGGAGAATGTTTTTATATTGTTTGTTTTTCACTGGTTCAACAGAGAAAAAGCATTATGAAGTGTAATGGAAATACCATGAAGAAAAGAAAGAAATTTTCAATTCTGTGGATTTGAAAGATGTAAATAAAGGAACACATAAACAGAACCCTTAAAAAGTACATGTATTTGCAGATACTTTTCTCTACATCCATGCAAACGCTTTAACATAAAGGAACTATTTCATTAGTAAAAATCCATTCTCTATATCATACCAAAGATATCCAGTGCCAAGAGGAAGCCACTCCCAATTCTTCTGTTCTTTCTGCTGTGAAAAATACCTCTGCCAGTTGAAGTCCATTTTCTGGCCAGTTTGCCTTTACAAAACATTACAGACCATTAAAAAAGTGTTTTATGCTTTGGGGCAGTGCCAAGTCTTTTCCACATTAATTATTCTAGTATTACCTTATCGGTTAATTCAAGGTTCCTGGCTGCTTGCTCCAACCATTTTGCAAGAATTTTCTGAAACATATATCATTTAAAATTCTCAATACTGAATCACTAAAACAACTAAACTCCTCCATAATTCTCTCTTATAAATTGTTTCATTTTTACAGTCCTGGAGGTTGAAGCCAGGGTCTCACATGTGCTAGGCAAATGCTCTAACCACTGAGCTACACCTCTAGTCTTACCACCACCTTCTAAAAGAGACACTTAAAAAAGCTAACTAATTGGTTATCTTAGTTACTTTTCTCTCGTTGTTGGGACAAAACACCTGACACCCAAAATTAGTGAAGGAAAAGTTTATTTAGCTCACAGTTAGTGGAGGTTTTAGTCCATAATCACCTGGCCTCAAGGCAGGGTGGCCTGGCCCAGGGGCAACAGTTTAAGGTGACAGGAGACAGCAAACGCAGCAAGCGCCAAAGAGGGTGGGTAAGCAAGCCTCTTTTCCTCTCTTATGTTGCATGCCCACTATCCACCCACACCCACGCCATCTCAGTAGCCCACTCTTCCACAAACTGAGGGTGTTAATAAAGTAAGGACCCTGGCCCCCTGCTGAATCACTTAGTTGAACTTTTAAACTTCTCAAGTTGACACAATGAACAACATGGTAAGGGCAGGTCCTTTTCACCCCAGGATGCAGAACTGCTGAGTTACTTAGTTAAGCTTCTGGACTTCTCAAGCTGACACAATGTATCAACCATAACATGGGTGTGACTGTAACTCAACCTTTTTGGTATATGTGCTAGCAAAGCAAGCACACTGTAACTTCATCTTCAGTGATCCAAGGTAACACAAAGTAAATGAGATCATTACAAGAAGACCTCACCTGTCCTTCAGGTATAGTCCTCCTCACAAATGGGACCACCTCATTTTTAAACCACGGACAAAGATTTTGCAAAGAGAGCGGTGTAGAAATTGAGTTCAGCAAGTTCTCAAGCATTTTCACATCAGCCTTGCTTTCGAAGTTTGCCTGAATATTAGAGTGAGAAATTAAAATTTATCTAACAAATTGAGATTGACAACCTCCCAAACAGCAAAGTCCTGTTACATTAGGAAGTCATCCCAAGGAATATCTTCCTGATTTTCATAAGTGCTAAAGGTGATTTATCTATGCAAATGATCAAGCCATGAATTCTCCCACGAGCGAGTATCAAACAGTGCGTCAATCATGCTGCACAGGAGCCAGCAGAGACGTGCTCTAAGAAAGATAAAACTGGGGACCGTGGCACAAATGCTTACAAGCAACTGCCCACTAATGAAACGGCAACACGATGCTTTTTGGTACTGATACTGTATATCGACATCAGCCAAGGTGAAGGGAATTCAAATGAACAATATAATATAACATAATTATTTAAGAGACTGGTCTCACTATGTTGCCCAGGCTGGCTCCAACTACTGTACTCAAGGGAAATCTCCTGCCTCAGTCTCCTGTGTAGCTGGGACCACAGATACGACTTAACCACCTCAGGTTGTGGTTATCAACCTGATTAAGTTATTCTATCAGTGAATAACTTAATCAAATACTGCCTATTGAGCTAAGATTTGGAGCTATTTAGACTCAGTGAGGTAAAACAATGCTCTATGGTATCTTTCTAGTACTCCCTGGGATTTAGAACCATCAGAGGGACACGCGTGTCCTGTCAATCTGACAACATTCTATTATCCACATGTGCCATGCTGTTAGTTTCCAACTGAGTGAGACCCCCATCTTAGGAGCTAGAAAACCTTTAAGAAAAAACGCAAAACAAAGCATTACCCGATGTCTCAGCCAAAGATACTGTGCGCAGACAAGGTTCCCTTCTCTTAGCTGTAACAGAATATCTTTAAGATCATCTTCATTATTCAGGAATTCAATCCAAGCACTCCCACTGAGAAGTCAAAGGGAAGAAAAAGTTAGTGGTTAAAAAAAAAACTAAGCTTACACTTTCCAAGTGAGTAACATTTTGTACATATCAACTACTTTGTTCTTTTTAAAAATTTTTCCTCGTAAACTTTTAAAACAAATCCCAGCACTCAGGAGGCTGAGGCACAAGGATCGGCTTGAGTTGTGAGCCACTGTGCAACATAGTGAGCTCAAGGCCAGCGTAGGCTACAGAGCAAGACCCTGACTCAGGAGAACAACCCAAACAAGCTTAAAAACAGAACAGCACCAAAGATAACACAATGAAAGAGTAAGTTTCTTTCTTTCTAGACCTTTGGACCTCCTGTCATCTTCCCCAGAGGCCGTAACTCTTCTTGGAGGGTCTTCCTTGGATAATCACAACATATACAAACAATTTCATTTGGGGGGGGGCAGGGTCTTGCTGTATAGTCTATGCTGGCCTTAAACTCACTATGGTCTCATTTTTTGTTTGTTTGTTTGTTTTGCTGTGTAGTTCATGTGGGCCTTGAACTCAATATGGAGCCCACGCTACCCTCGAACTCATGGCAATCCTGCTTCGGCCTCCCTAGTCCTGGGATTACAGGCATGCACACCACGCCTGGCTATAAACAACTATTCCAAACATGTTTTTATTAGCCCATGTTTGCAGCACATAGCGACTACATTCAACACATGGAGTTGGTACATGTACACAACATATCTTTATTCTTTTCACATCTACTTCCCTTCTCCTTTTCCCATAAACAACTATTTTTAACTTCTTCCCAACACTAGGGATTGAACCTGGGGCTTTTAGACTAAACTACATCCTCTGCCCTTTTAAAAAATTTAATGTTGAAACAAGGTCTCAGTAAGTTGCTAACTTGCCCAGGGTGGGCTTGAACTTGTGATTCTCCTGCTTTTGGCGATTACAGGTGCTTGCCATCACACCCAGATAAAATTAATTTTTATACTGTCTTAGTGCTTAAACTGAATCAGTACACATAAACAGCATTCCTCTTACGGACTACACAGTATCCCATGGCATGGATTTATAATAATTTGTGGAATTAGTTCCCCAGAGTTAAATGTTTAGATTATTCCCAGTCTTCTGCTGTAACTAACAATGCAGTATAACTACTCAGTCCTGATTAAAGCTCAGAGATAGAGGATGACTACTGTCTTAATATGACAGAAAGTCAAACAAAACTATAAAAGCCTGTATGTAACGTGCTTACATGATAAAGTGAAGGAATTTCTGTTTTGTTTTGAGACAGGGTCTCAAAAGTTATAGTTAAAGCTGGCCTAGACTATGTAGCCCAGGCTCAAACTGATGGTGATCCTCCTGCCTTAGCCTCCCAAGTACTGGGATGACAGGCATGCGCCACCATGCCCAGCTTGTTTGTTAAAGACAAGAACAAGGGAACAAGGGTGCTCACTTCGGTAGCACATATACTAAAAAAAAGAACAAGAAAAGGATTACCACAATAGTTAATAATGTTTTAGAAGTCAAGCATGGTGATGCACACCTGTCATCCCAGCACTGGGGAGGCTGAGCAGGAGGGCTGCCATGAGTTCGAGGCCAGCCTAGGTTACATAAGCAAGTTCAAGGGCAGCCAACACTGTATAGTGAAAACCCCGTCTAAAAAAATAAAAAGATGAGCCTGAACTATATAGCAAGACTCTGTCTCCATAAACAAAGCAAAACAAATAAAAAACAATGTTCTAGCTGGGCATGGTGGCACACACCTGTAATCCCAGCACTTAAGAGGCTGAGGCAGGAGGACCATTGTGAGATCGAGACCAGCCTGGGCTACAAAGTGAGCTCAAGGCCAGCCAGAACTGCACAGGGAGACCCTGTCTCAAAAAGACAAAATTCTAATACTAATACTACTACTAATAATATTCTAGAAGTACCATCCAATGAAAACAGGCAAAGAAAAAACAAAACCAGAGCTGATGACACAGAACTACCATTATAGGACTACATAATTATATACTTAAAAACTAAAATCAATTAAAGCATTACTGTAAATCAACAAAGTAGCTGGTTAAAATATTTTTAAAAATCAATAGCTCTCAATTGGACATGATGGCATATGACTGTAACTGTAGCACTTAGGAGGCTGAGGCAGGAATATCCCTATAAATTGGAAGCTGGCCTGAGCTACACAAGTAAATTCAAGGCCAGAGTGGATTATATAGCCAGATCTTGTGTCAAACAAACACATATAAGAGCCAGGGGTATAGCTCAGCAGCATAGTGTCTACCTGGCAAGTGTGAGGTTATGAGTTTGATTCTAGGTACCAAAAAAAAAACCAAAAACCAAATAGGCTAAGGGGCTGGGGATTTAGCTCAGCAGCACAGTGCCGGCCTGGCAAGCGCGAGGTTGTGAGTTCGATTCCCGGTACCAGGTGTGTGGGGGGGGGACACAAACCAAGTAGGGTGGGTGTGGTGGCACACACCTATAATCCCAGCACTGGGGAGGCTGAGGCACGAGGATCATTGCGAGTTCAAGGTCAGCCTGGGCTACAAAGTGAGTTCAAGGCCAGCCTGAACTGCATAGTGAAACCCTGTCTTAAAAAGGAAAAAAAAAAGGAAGCAAAGAAGGAAATTATGATAGGGCTAGTTTAATAAATAACATTTCAGAGCTCATTAGTTAAGTGATAAGGAGATAAGATAAGTTAGACTTGAATAATATGTGAGATTTTCAGCCTCTGGTCAGTGTAACCTTTCAATCAGCAGTGAAAAGGATAGTTCAGTGACAGTGCTAGGGTGGCAGGCTGGCCGCAAGGAAAAACATAAAAGCTTCAAAGGCTGGGACATAACAGTGTAGAAAATTTGCTTGGCATGCCAAAGCCATGGGTTGAAGCCCCAGTACAGGGGAAGAAAGTGCGCGTGTGTATATGTGTGTCTACAATTCCCAATACAACAAATATTTAAATCTTAAAAAAGACTTTAAAATGAAGAATATAGAGATGTTTAAATTTTGGGTGGGTGACATCTTTCTAAATAATCTCTAGCATCACAAATAAAATAAAAATGCTTTGTAAAGTAAAAATTTTTTGTAAAAACTATCAGTAACAAAATCAAGAGAAAGATGACAAAACTGGAGAAAATTTGAAATATTGAGAGGACTTATAAAAATCAATTTAAAAAAACAACCCTAGAGAAATAAAGACCAAGGATGCCAAAGAGAACAACAGACTTTTTCTGTTGTTTGTCCTTTGAAAGTACAGGGTACGAGCCCGAAGGCTGTGCATGCTAGTGTGTCACCACTGAGGTACAACCCCAGCCCTTTTTATTGTTTTTTTTTGAGATAGCATCTCCCAATGTTACCCAGGCTGACCTTGAATTTGGTGATTCCACTGCCTTAGCCTCCCAAACAACTGGGATTACAGGTGTACTTCACCACGCCTGGCTGAAAACTAGGATTTTGATAGCAAAAGTAAATTCTTTTTTGTTTCTCTTTTTTGAGACAAGGTCTAGCTATATAATCCAGGCCGGCCTGGAACTCATTGTGCAACCCAGGGTGGCCTCAAACTCACAGCAATCCTCCTGCCTCAACCTCCCAAATGCTGGGATTACAGACATGTGCCACAGTGTCCAGTAAAAATAAATTTTTGAGTTAAGAATCAAAATGAACTGGGGATCTAGCTCCGTAGCATAGTGCCTGCCTGGTAAGCGCAAGGTCCTAACACCTGTGATCCCAACACTGGGGAGGCTGAGGCAGGTAGATCATCAGGAGTTTGAAGCCAGCCTGGGTTACAGAATGACTTCAAGGCCTGGACTACATAGGAAAACCCTGCCTCAAAAAAAAAAAAAAAATTTTTTTTTTTAATCTTTTTGAGACAGGGTCTCACTGTGTAGCCCAGGCTGGTTTCGAACTCACAACGATCCTCCTGCCTCAGCCTCCCAAGTGTTGGGTTTACAGGAGTGTGCCACCACGCCCAGCTAAAAAAATTTTTTAAGAAAGGAAGAAAGCAAGGCAGTAGTATTTTTGTAATATTTTTCACACATATTAGCAAAAACAAAACTTTTATGACAAGTTCTTGGTAAATGAATGAGAAAATGGGCAGGCCCTCTCCTATTCTACCCGAAAAAATATATTTGAAGGACAAACTCCCACACACATACATTTTGCCTTAACAACTGCATTTGCAGTACCTGAATTTAGGAATATTCTCACATGCACCAAAAATCTTACTTTCTAATATGAACTATTGCCAGGTGTGGTAGTGCATGCCTGTAATCCCAGCACTCAGGAGGCTGAGGCAGGAGGATCCTTGTGAATTCAAGGCCAGCCTGGGCTACAAAGTGAGCTCAAGGACAACCTGAACTGCATAGTGAGACCCTGTCTCAAAAAAAAAGACCAAAAAAAAGTCAAATATGAGCTGTTACTACAGTTAGGACAGGAAATATCCCCAGGGCTCATGAGGCAAAGGCCTGCTCCCCAATGCAGCAATGTGCAGGGCCACAGGTGAGAGGGTAATGAGGGTTCTAACCACTGGTGGGCTCATCCACTGACCGATTCCTAATTTGAGGCACTGTTGGGAAGTGAAGGAAACTTAGGACACGAGATCCGGCTGAATCGGGTGGGTCATGGGGCTTCTTTGAGACTCCACCTTGTCCCAGGCCCCTCCGCTGTGGCTACCCTCTCTCTCAGCCCCTGTGTATCAGGAGGGAAACTGCCAGGCATCAGGATACCTCCTGCTGGGATGCTCTGCCCTACCCCAGCAATGGAGCCAAGTGCCCACTGTCTGAAATCTGAACCCATGGGCCATAACAAGCCTCTCCTCCTTTAAGTGGGTTTTTTTTTTTTTTCCCGGTACCGGGACTCAAACTCACGACCTTGCGCTTGCCAGGCAGGCGCTGTGCCGCTGAGCTAAATCCCCAGCCCCTTAAGTGGGTTTTGTTACAGTGATGAAAAGTTGGCTAACACAGATGTCCCTGTGTATCAGGACAAATTAATGAAAGGGAGTGAGCCAGCAGAAGGTATCATAAGAAAATCACTCTGAGAAAGACATTTTAAATGACACAGCCAGGCATGGTGGCGCACGCCTGTAATCCCAGCACTCAGCAGGCTGAAGCAGGAGGATTGTTGCAAGTTTGAGACCAGCCTGGGCTACAAAGTGAGTTCAAGGCCAGCCCGAACTACATAGCGAGACCCTGTCTCAAAAAGACAAAAAATTTAAAAAATTAAAAATAAAAATAAAAACAGAATGTACCTGAATTTTTCTGGTCCAAATGCTCCATAAAAAGTAGTCAACTTTGCATGAGCCCTTAGTACCTAAAGAAGAAAGAACTTGATAATTTGAATGTTGCACACAATGGTACTGAATTAAAAACACCAAAACTTAGGGTCCTTCTATTTCAGAAGTCTCATGTTATCATTTTACCCCACAGTACAGGTCAATCCCATCCATGCAACTGGCTCTACTTAATACACACCCCAAATGGAATAATGAAAACATTGCCAGTCACATTTAATTGTAAAGGCATAAACATATTCATTATATTGCCCTTCAAAAAATCCATTTTCACAATGATTTCTAAGGGACAGGGCTGGGGATTTGGCTCAGTGGCACAGCACCTGTGTGGGAAGTGTGAGGTCTGAAGTTTGATTCCCAGTCCTTCCCAAAAAAATTTTTTAAAAAAGTGACCTTATTGTAAAACAGCTAAAGGCCGGGGATTTGGCTCAGAGGCACAGCGCCTGCCTGGCAAGTGTGAGGTTGTGAGTTTGATTCCCGGTACCGGAAAAAAAAAAATAAC